TTAAAGGTGCCTGAAGAAATGATCCATTTGCTTTATTAGAGCATAATGGAGACGGGCAAACTTACCCCACTGTTTTCCCCCCATTGCCATTTGCCAATGCGTAACACTCTGCAACCCTGAGATGTCATTTGTATTTTACTCTGTGGCCTAAAAGAAGCCCCCAACCCAGCCCAGGTCCTCCCCAATTCCCTCTCACTGGAACATGTTTCTATCACTTCATCCTGTTCTAATTACAGAAAGAAAAGCAGTAAATGAAATCTTAATCATCCCAAAGCCCCAACAATCTTGATCGTTGAATGGTTGATCCCCAGTTCTCAAATTTCCCAGATTATCTATAGCGGACCGCTTCCAGATTGGATAAAGTCCACGATTTCGTCTGTGTTACACGTATCCCACACAGCCTCCATTTGTCGAATCCCATCCCCTCAGAGGAGGCCACCTGCCTGTCACCATATATCCAGTTTCAACTCCAGAAGGTATTCTAGGAAACCTCTTAAAACCAAGCATCCAAATATTCCAAACTGAAGTTTTGAGGTCCGACAGCCACGAAACAAGTCTACGTTACTTTCCAAGAAAATAGAAAAAACAAAGCAGGGACACGAAGAAGAACTCAGCTGTCTGTCAGCGCAGCGAGAGGGAGGAGAAGCAGAAGCCAGAAAGATGAAGGCAGAGACTTTGACTCTGGTCCTGGTAAACTTGGCTGGGATCATGGAGAGGGCCGATGAGTCATTGTTACCGGGCGTTTACAAGGAAGTTGGTGCGGCCCTTCACACGGACCCAACCGGACTCGGGTCTCTGACCTTGTTCAGGTCTTTTGTTCAATCCTCTTGTTATCCAATAGCTGCATACCTGGCTGTGCGTCACAACCGAGCTCATGTGATAGCTCTAGGTGCGTTTTTATGGGCTGCTGCTACCTTTCTTGTAGCCTTCTCCTCCACTTTCTTTCAGGTAAGAGTATCTATCCCCAGTTGCTTTTTTTTTTTTGGGCGTGTTAATCTAGTAATTCTGTTTTTATTAAAGTAAAGGGAATGCGAGGAATGAGGGAGTTTGCGTTTTGTGCTTTGTATATGTTATTCCTGGTGAAGTCAACCAAGTTGTTGAATTGGGTGTTGTTTAATAGGGGCTTTCAGTGTTGTGATTGGAGTTGATTACGTGATTATGTTTTGGTTGTTGTGGATTGGAATGGTAGAGACTATAGGTAATATAACTGAGCAAATTTTTTTTTTTTTCCTGATAGAGGTAATTTATTGGACCTGCTTGTATTATTGGTTATGATATGATTTGCTAACTCCATTAAAGAAAAATATTCTGAGGGAATTGCGTTATGGATTTGATCTGTTAAAATTTGATAAATATAACTTGAATTAAGAAACATTTTTGAGGATGCACATTTTAGACTTGAGGTGAGCAATCTCTTGTCCAAAACAGAACTCTTGAAGACCACAAATAGAAATCTCCAATTTTTATTTTTATTTTTGTTAATTGCTTGTAGATGAAAAACTCTTCAAAGTTTTGCTTAGTTGTTTGATCAGGCACAATTGGTTTAGACGTGTTTATTTTCTCTGCTCCAATGCTACATAAGAGTGATACCAGATAAACTTTAAACCATTATTTCCTTTCAAAATAACAAATAGTAATGAAATCCTTAATTTTAGAAGGAGACAGTAGAAGATGGGGAATGTCTAAAATTTTTTTGGGCAAGAGCTATTGTGTTGATTTGTAGTCATCAAAGGATTTGTGTTGTATGTAACTTTTGAGTAACAAGAAGTATGCATATGTTGAATGAATCTATTGTTAAGAAGATACAATGGCTTTGAAGAAAATGAGATTGAATTAAATGAACTCATTTAGAGTTTGAAGATTTTGTGCTTTAACAAAGGAAAAGAAAGGGCTTCTGGGATGGTTTCATCACTGGTGCCAACGAAGGGGAAAACAAAAGATTCACAATTTTAAGCAGGCATTAAATCATGTGATAGTTTTTAAAACTGTAAATTTCTGCATTTGAAGGGAAAACTTTCAGTATGCTACCATATGCATTGCTTAGTGTGCTAAAACTGCTAGCCACAACAGTCAGCAGATCAACTGATCAATTTAAATTTTTAGTCATTTGGAATCTGTTGTACAGGTGGCCATATCTAGAGCTTTAAATGGAATTGGCCTTGCTATAGTTGGACCTGCAATCCAGTCCCTTGTTGCTGACTCTACAGATGACAATAACCGTGGTATGGCTTTTGGTTGGTTACAACTCACAAGTAATCTTGGGTCAGTTATTGGTGGATTTCTTGCAGTACTAATAGCTCCGATAACATTGATTGGTATCCCTGGTTGGAGAATTGCCTTCCATCTAGTTGGACTAATCAGCATTATGGTTGGTATTTTGGTCTACCTCTTTGCCAATGATCCACACTGTTCAGATAGTGGTAGAAAATCTAGCCACCAAATTTCGAATAGATCCTTATGGTCTGAGGTGAAGAACCTAGCTCAGGAAGCCAAAACGGTTGTAAAGATTCCATCATTCCAAATTATTGTGGCTCAGGGTGTTACTGGTTCATTCCCCTGGTCTGCATTGTCATTTGCACCTATGTGGTTGGAGTTAATTGGATTCTCCCACAAGAAAACTGCATTCTTAATAGCCCTGTTTGTCATTGCTGCTTCTGTGGGCGGCCTATTTGGGGGTAGAATGGGAGATTTCCTTTCCAACAGACGTCTCCAAATTCCGGAAGGATCATTCTAGCTCAGATAAGCTCAGCATCAGCCATTCTCTAGCAGCAGTACTCTTGCTTGTTCTACCTGATGATCCGTCCACAGGTGTGATGCATGGTTTGGTCTTAATTATTGTAGGGTTCTGCATTTCCTGGAATGCTCCAGCTACAAACAAGTAAGATTCTAAAATTCACTCTTCACAAGACCCCCCCCCCCCCCCCCCTCTTCTTCCCCCCCGCTTCTCTGTTTTGTTTAATATTATTTCATTAGATGAAATCACATTTTACATATTCAAAATGTTGGATTTACCAACCCAGTTGAGTCATAAGCTGTACCATATTTAGCATTTCGATGCACCTAGATTTGAACAAGAAGTTCGTGAGACATGCTGGAGTCTTACTGAAGTATCAGGAAAAGAGAACCAAATCAGTTGTGTATAATATGTGGGACTGAGTCATTTATATGAATCCTCTATCAATCTCAATTTTAGAGGTGGACCACGATTAACGTATTTCAAAATGTCCCATCAAATATTAAATCATGGAATGCAAGAGTCTAGAATATAACATTGAAAGCTTGCAAATAAAAGACAAGAAGAGCCAAAAAATGGGGGAAAAAAAAACTTGTGCATGAATACTTGAGGCTTCAAAGGATTTTTCTTATTTATATATTTATTACATGTAATAAAATTGTTTTCTACGCATGCAGTCCCATATTTGCGGAAATAGTTCCAGAGAAATCTCGAACAAGTGTCTATGCTTTGGACCGATCTTTTGAATCCATCTTGTCATCATTTGCTCCCCCTCTAGTTGGGATTCTGGCTCAGCATGTTTATGGTTACAAACCTATTCCAAAAGGATCAAGTGAATCTGAAGAGATAGCAACAGATAGAGAGAATGCTGCATCATTGGCAAAAGCACTTTACTCAGCAATAGGAATTCCAATGGCTCTCTGTTGTTTCATCTATTCTTTCCTGTACTGCACGTACCCAAGGGACAGAGAGCGAGCTCAGATGGAAGCACTAATAGAATCAGAGATGCGAGAGCTATTGTCAGATAATATGCCTGAAGGTGGTGAGTCTCCTCAAGCTCAGTCATCTGAATTAGAAGAACCATCTGTTAAGGATAGAAGCATTATTGAAGTGGATTATGAAGGTGAGGATGACTTTGATCCTGATGAAAATGATGAGAAGACTTCCCTTTACCGCCAATTGACATTCTCTAATTTAGGTGTATAGTTCAGAATGGTTACAGTGATGAGAAGACATTGGTTTCACCCAGTTAACATTCTGAACAAGTTGAAGCTAACTTTAGTATTGCTGCGAGGCTGCTTTACATCAAGATAGCTGTGATGTGAGAGGATTTGTCCAATTTTTCGATGACCATGGTGTAGATGGGAGCATGTCCCAATGAGAAGTCCTGCGCTTGTGACAGACCTGCTCTGGTCTTCCTCGGCCAGACATACTCTTAAAAAGGAAATGTAACTGACACTTATAAATTCAAAGGTCTAATCATTGAAGCTAGGATATGTTATACTCGGATTCTTGTGATCGGTACTTATGCCAATGTAAAAATCGAACAATTGTTGGATATTAGAGTGGATGATACATAGCAGAAGCTGTGCCAGCAGTTCCTTGTCTGGCTGATCATAAGATTACTAAGATTTGTTTTCTGATGTCAATCTTGAATTGTGAGAAAAACATTAGCTTTAACCTGGCTATTATAAATGCGTAGCAATAGCATTATATGGCAACACCTGATGGAAAAACATTATAGGCACCCAGGATGCAGTTATGAGAAAAGGGCTACAATTGTTCTTAAAGAGGCTTTTTATCTGGGATGTTGATGCCAATGGCTAGAATTTTATCATCATTTGGTTGTGAAAGTCACAACAATTTTCATAAGGATTTAATCCTTTCCTATTCTCACTGGTAGCATCGGACTTGAGCCTCCCGGAAAATGGAGATCAACTCAGCTAGCAATTGCAGAAAGCTGCATGACCATGGCAACTCGGGGATCAATCAGAGGGTCGAAAATGGAAATACCATCCTACCATTCTTTCAGTAGCGAAAGGAAATTAAAAAGAAGAAATATAGACATGAGCGTAATACTGTCCAACTAAATCCTGCAACTGTTAACATCCAGTTGGCAGTAGCCAGTAACAATTTCTGTTTGATGTGACAAGCATCTTTGGATGAAAACGATGGTCTGGTCTGGTTGTTGATCAGCCTTTCTACTTACAACCTAAACGTAGGACATAGAAGGGTTTGAACAATCAAATTTGGTTACTTCCGGACGTGCACCAACCAAAGTTATGCTATTAACTTTTGCTTTCCATTTTTATTGCAAATTGTGAAAGATACAAGCCCCATACAAACAAAAAATCATCTATGTGAACAAAAGAACTGAAACATAAAAAACATAAACTTCGACAAGAGACACTCTATAGGCTATACAAATTGGCTTTATAAAAATTATTGAGACAACAGGACAACCAGCAACTGTAATTTGAAGTGGATGCTTAGCTGGGTTTTCTAGTTGAGATCATCACAAAGAGTCCATTCCTTACACATGTAAAACCAACTAGCCCACAAGTTCGGCAAAGATCTTCGAGTTCACGTTCAGAAAGGAAGATATGACTGCCTGCTATCCCCATTATATTCTATACAGAAGAACCATCAGCCATCAAAAAGAATAATCAACACCTTTTGTGATGCAAGAAAGGTTGAGATAAAGCTTCTTGAATTAATTCGATAACATTCGGCTAAACATGACAAAATCAATTGTCATTATTCAAAAAACAAAATTAAAGGCCAAACTCAGGCATTCTAACAGTGCATAATGAACTCAAGTTCAAACTTGTGAAGTGGTCATGCAAATTATCAAGCTGAAACAATATATACCTGGCGGAAAGTCCTCAAAAATGGCACAAATCCAAAAGGCCCATCAAGTATGTAGGTAGTAGCAACAAAAACACCTCCAGGTCGAAGAACTCGACTTATTTCAGCCACCTAGGTAAACCATTTCAATATCATTTAACATAGGCTATTAAAGGTTAAACCTCAAGCAATTACAAAAACCACAATATTATGCCACATGGTAGCATTAGATGCAGAAGGGAGATAAAACTAGCAACTCAGATTTATTTGCAGCTCCATACATTTTGGAAGCAATTTCCAATAAAAAACCCCAGTTTTTAACGCGCATTTTATTATAGCATCTTAGCATTTGGCTCAATGCTAAGTGCATGTATCCCCTCCCCAAAAAGTTGGATTTGAATCCCTCCTTTTCCCAAATCAAAAACTCACATTTTACTATTCTCCAGAAAGTATTTTTGACGGAGACTATTTTACTCTTAATTTTAACTTACCTATAGTCTTACTGGGAATCAATATTTAGTCCAGAGAATATTACCAACTTTTGTTGGATAATTTCTTCCCTAAGAGACTGAAAATGTTTATTTAGAAAAAATTTAATGACAATACTTTCAGTTTCTTGGTGAACTATGTATATGCAAGAGTCCAAGGCATGAAGTTTAGCATCCTTGCAGCCACAGTTTACGACAAATAAACCTTAAGATTTCCCCTTTGAGTGTCAGCCTATGACGTAAGCCCCTTGAATGCCAGTAATTAGTGACAATAAGAAACTGGAATGATTAGTTAACCACCACATTAATAAAAAAATGCTTACAGCTGTTGATGGTGAAGGCCAACAGTGCAAAGCTGCACCAGCATGCACAGCATCGACTGAACTTGACTTGAAAGGAAGTCTCGAGATATCAGCTCTGACCAAGGTCACTTTCCTTTAAAAATATAAAATGAAAGAAAATCAGAATCAGAAGTCATAAATATTTAAAATGAAATACTTCCACATATCTAATGACATGATATTATACTAAAGATAAACTTTATACTCTTTGGGGAAGTTTTCCTCCTTCTCGATAAATTCATAGCATTGTCGCAGCATGTTTTCTGAGTAGTCCAGTGCAAAAACCAGTGAAAATAATCCACTCTTGGCAAAAAGTCTGGTAAACAATCCACTACCACAACTAGCATCAATAATGTTTCCACCTAGCACTGGCTTTAGGTAATTCTTAGCCATATCAAACTGCAATGTAAATCAGTAATTAGTTAGTGACTCCATCACTGGAGAAGAGTATGAAACAACAATGGAATGAATTGAGAAAACTATTTCCAGTGATAGTATGCCAGTTCAGTCATGCAAATTGTAGGATGATTAGAAATTGATGTTTTACATTCATAGCATTTCAGACCTTGTTATTTTTAAAGAGTGTTCCTTTGATATAAATTACAGATGAACAGATTTAACTCCCAAGGGACATGCACATATGGTTAAGATAACACTGCAAGCTGCAACCTTTTAGGATCTCAGGGTGATGCCTTGCATAAAATGAGTTATGAATTATTATCAATACTCAGAAAATAACCACTTCATAGACCCTTCCTGATGAATAAGATTATAGAAGTTGCCAGCTTACCTCTTTCTCTGGACCTGGAAAGCCACCAAATATAAAATTTTGACGCCAACCTCTCTCATAGAGAAATGATACCACTGGAGTCCTGATTAAGGAAACAACCAACAAGCAATAGACAAGTAAGATAAATACAAAACAATTCTAGGACATAGCATCAAGCACATATATTACTTGAGGGCATTAGCAGTGAGAGCAACGTTGTAAATAATCCAGGGTGTACTAGTTAAACAACAGATATAGAATGACAAAAGATGTGATTGGAAGAACTACAGCCTGCTTATTTGCAATTGCTAGAATTAGAGAAAGAAAATAGAAAAAAAATGGAGAAAAAAGAGAGAAATCATGTGCCACAACAAATGTTACAGGAAAAGCAGTACAGTTATACTGCATAAACCTACAGATTAAATTAATCTGAAACTAGTAAAACTCTTATTTTCACTCTTCTATGACCTGCAGACTGTTGGGTACAGAATTAATAGACCTTGAAGCTGGACGGGAAACAGGAAGAAAAGGAGCAGGTACTGTATATAAATTCTTGCATCTACTTATTTTTAACAAAGTGAGTGCAAGGTGGGCGCTTTGAGGGAGCCAAAGAACCTCCAAGTACAAATAATTAAGTTAAAAAGGGATACTCTTATTGCTGGAATGCATTAACAATTCATAACAATGACTCGAACTGACGTTTCTTAATTTCTGGCAACAAATAATGAAATTATCTCAGAAAAAATCTGCAACTATTCCACTTATTTCCGAACAACTCAAGACTGGTCAAACTACTGGCCGTACACGTTTCTTTTACTCTTTGAAAATAACTCCAACAGGCAAAGCTAGCGCGGGACACAGATATCCCTCCATTTTACTTTTAACTCTCAATGTAAATTTTACAACGCTAGCCAAAACCATGAAAATCACATAACAGGGACAGACCTGAACATTTCAGCTGCTAGCGGCATGGATTCATCATACTGCTTGGAACCACTAGAGGCAACGAGGTCAAGATGCGTTTCATTTCCACAGTACGTCTTTTTGCAAGTGTTACATTGCAAATTAGACCCAGCCGTTGACCCTCTGTGCCATTCCAAATTCAAATCAATTCAAACACAAGTTGGAATTCAAGAACATCATTTGAAAAGAAGACTACGACAACAACAAGAACAACAACTCACACGTATGAAGTGGATTCACCGATCCTGATTAATGGGTCATAACAAATGGGACAAGCTAAACCGTTGTTGCCGCCGCCAGTGTCCTCTTTCTCCTCCACAAGGGGCTCCTGAAAAATATCAACAATTCACCAAAAACAAAAGAACAGTAAGAATAAGAAATAACTACAGCATCGAATCGTATCGTTTAAAAGGGGAAAAAAACAAAGTCAACCATTAACCCAATTTATCTGGTGTCATTGTTTGCATACCGTAGGCTTGGTTTCAACAAAGGCTGTAGAAAAAGCGCGAACTCTGGTGGTTAAACTTCTTTTGAAGACGGGAGTAGTGAAGGGCCTGAATAAGAAACGCACCGAGTTTCCATTGAGTTGACTCGGGAAGAAAGCGAGTCTGAAATTACCGGTGATAACTGTCGTCATAGTTTTTTTCTTTTGATCCTTTCACTCTTTGTTTCTTTTGTGAGCAGAAAGTGGGGAGCAAGAAGAGGCCGAGAAGATTATGTTTATGAAACAATTATTACCAAAATAAATATGAAGATTGTTAGTGTTCTTGCGATTAGTAGTTTTTCCTTGTCCTTTTTTCGGGTATGAATGTAGGAGGAACCAACAAGAGGAGAGAGGTGCCGAATCGTGGCAGATTTTTGTCGACTGTTGGGTGTCTGGGCTCGGCCATGGATCTTCTCCACGTGAAATGGGCTTCCTTTTGTTTTTTTATCAGTAAACTTAAAACAGAGGGCTAAAAGGCATCGACGGTAATCATTTCTGGTTTTGCAGTTCAAAAACATTTTAAGAAAACAAAAAGGATCTTCTCATTTTTCCTATTTTATCCATTGTTAACATAACGACAAACAAATACCTCTCCTATGGTCCCTTTTTACTCAATTATTTTTCATTTTCTTTATAAACAATTCACATGTATCTTTCCCTTTTGTAAATAAAGGATTACAAAATGACCTAATATTTAAAAAAAATTTTGAAATATTGAAAAAATTTTAAATAATTTTTTATTTTTTATTATTTTTATATATTTTTATTTTAAATCAAATACATAAGTCTTTACTAACTATTGATTAATTATTATTAATCAAAACATAACTTATCATTTATACACGTATATGAGAATTGCATGTCGTTGATATAGAAAATAAAAATATCACGTGATCATGTCACTATATTATGTATGTATGTCACATTATTATTTATTATAACATATCAATGTATTACGTCAATATCACATAATATAAAATAAAAAAATGATAGTTTGATTAATTATAATTAATTAACTAATAATTATAAAAAACTTATTTAATAAAAAAATAAAAATTTAATTAAATGTAATAAAAATAAATATTTATTTAATTTTTTTATTAATAATTCAAAAAAATTTTAAATTTATGTTGATATGAAAATTGACTACCATTTTTCTTCTATATAGCAAGATATGGAAATTATTCAGTGCCATCAGGTCTCCAAATGATCACTATGGCATGGAGAACATCTTAGCTGTTTTGCATTTTAATCTTAGGACAAACGTCATGTTTGCATTGATATTTAGTTTCCGGTTTCAACATTAAGTTAGTTAATTTTTTTTTTTAGATTTTAGAAAAGAGATTTAACTTTATTCTTTAAGTAAGAAATTAATTATGCATTCACTAATGAATCAAATATTAGAGTGCAAGTTAGATACTTAATTTATAGCTTCAAGAATATTCCGTAGGCATATATAAGTGTAATTAAGGTATTGATAACAGTTAATTTGCTTACAAGACTCATAGTATCAAACTATATGCAAATTACTTAAGCCCTTTTATTTTTTTGTTAAAAAAAAAAAGGGAAAAGAATGTCTTTGCCAAACTTGATAAAAAGGTAAGGACTAAGGTGTAAGGACAATTATTCGTCTCTCTATAATCATCTGTATTATCCATAATCAAGCTCAAGGAGCAAAACAGACGGTTAAATGGCCTATCATCATCTTAATGAAATAGGAATACCCTCAATAATTAATTAAGGGACTTAACCGAAACAAGGAAAAATTCCAACAAGCAATATTATCAATATTAACACTTAAGATGAATGGCAATTTCCTTCATGATTTAACATTTATCATGTGTGAGTAAATAATCGTTTGAGTTTTTTCGACATTAAATTAGAAAATAGACACTATTTAAAACTTAATTCATTGTACAACAGCCAAATGAATTTTACAGGAAAATAAAATGGTACAAGAACTACCACAGGCATTATTGTTCTTGTAATTATCATGTAAGTAATTGAATAGTATTAATATTATCAAGAACAACAACTCTTTAATTAATTGTTTATTCTTTATTATTAAGATCACAGTTTTAACATAAAACTGAATATAATAAGTTTTAAGGTTCAAACGCTTGAAGGTAAAAGAGGAAATTCGACTCTTAGTACACTAAATGTGATTGGCTACACAGAATTATGATCTGTCTCTGATAATCACTTCAGTTGAACTTAAAACGAAGTTTTGTCCTCAGCTATCGTAATGGCAAAAATTTCTTACGCCTAAGCTTATCCACAATAGTTTTCAGACAATATATTGACCCGAAACTTGCACAGCAAGCCCGTCTAGCTCAGTCGGTAGAGCGCAAGGCTCTTAACCTTGTGGTCGTGGGTTCGAGCCCCACGGTGGGCGGTGGTTTGTTTTCCCCTTTTTCATGCAGCAGGCCCATTTTCCATCTGATAAATCATGGTTTATGTCCAGGCCCAAATTCCAAAAAGATGTTTGTTTCTTTTATTCCCCCCCTCCCTCATTTACTAATTCTGGAAAGTACATGGCATTAGGGGCCTTAAACAATAGATATTGTCTTAATTTCACCCATTATTAGTAAAGTGAATATGAAAACTTATTGTTTACTCAGGAGGGATAGCAAAAACCAAACACCAGCTCAATTCACAACTATAATTCATTTGGACCGTCTAAAAACAAAATTCTTGTAACTTCAACACTTGTTATTGTCTGAATACAGAAGAAACGGGAAAACTTACTTCCAATTGGTTGGCATCCTCGAGTTTGTGTATGACTTTTTTTGGTACAATACAACTCTGAGGATTGTCAGGATCAGAACTCAAAGGATCTCTTTTGAATTCATTGCTGTTCCTCTTTCAACATCAACCAGATACAGACATCTTGCGGAAGCTGCCGAAAGAGCAATAAATATATCAGGTAACACCTTATTCATATATGGTCATATTCCCCATGTGTCAACATCAATAGTTCAATAGTGACAAATTCCTGTTTGCTCACAAATTAAAAAGGAATAAGATAAGCAACCATTTTCTCCCCCTCGTAGACCACGGACCAAAACAAAAACTTCAATTTCCAATCTCATCTACACCTATACAGTATGATTTTACACATTTATTTATAAAAAAAATAATTGTTTTTATTTAATTTTTAAGCTTAAATATATTTTAAATTATTAAAATATTAATATAAAAATATTTTTATATTTTTTAATAAATGAAATGAATGGAGTGGGGGTCGGGTGTGACTTAGATTTTACAAGTGTCTATTAAGTTCCGTGGGTCCTAGACACCTCTGGTGCTTATTTGTCTAAATTAGGGGTGAAAAGTATTATCTTAATATATAATTGGGAATTTACTTTTGTATTTATGATTAACTACAAGATAAGTATAAAATGGTTAATTAGTAAAAGAAATATGAATATCAAAATTATGTTTTTTTATCTTAAAAATATAAGTCAAATTATGCAATTAGTTTTTATATTTTATTAAAAATGTGATGGGAGTTTGTATTCCACGTTTGATTAATCAATAAATTTTATTTTTAAAGAAAAGTTGTAAATTTAATCTTTATATTATAATTTATAAAAATTATATTTTTATATTTTTTAAAATTGACTATATCAATTTAACGTGTTAAAAATTTTTTGTTATCTATATTAATATAATGTTTGATTGTGTTAACGTAGTATTAAATTTAATGACATGATAATAATGATATAATATTTCATTAATGATGTAATAATAGTGTCGACATGACATGATCAAGTACTAATATGATATTTTAAAAATACAAATAGATTTTTATGATTTAAAAAAAAGTGTTGTGAGACAAAGAAAATTGAATTTCTGTGCTCCATAAATTAAAGTTGTGAAATAAATTAAAAAAATCTCATCATCATTGATAGATTATCATATTCAATGTCACATTAATAAAAAAATCATGTCAGCATAATTAAAAAATTTAATATTATTAACAATTGAACTAAAATTGTCAATTTTAAAATATATAAAAACTCAATGTTTACAAATTATTATATAGGAACTAAATTTATCACTTTACCAGAACATAGAGACTAATTATATAATTTAACAAACAAATATAAGATTTTTTTTAAAGGAAGAGAACAATAAGAAATGTCGTTAAATCAAACTGGGTCATGCCTCTAAATCTTAAGTTGTCGGATCCAATTACAATTTTAAAATATTTACAAATATTTTTCATATTAATAATTATATTTTAAATATATTTTAAAATTAAAATTAAATAAAAATACATTTAATAATATAACAATATTTCAAACCAGACCAAATCAAATCCGAATCTAAAATACTTGTACAAGACCCGACTTGAAATGAACCAGGCCCATGGGTTTGGTGGGTTGCCGAACTCGTGGGTAGGTCCAGGAACAATGAACGATGATTTTTTCCCCTTAATTTTCCATGGGACTCATTGAAACTTTAATTTTACAGCTGATACACGGTTGCTCGTAAAGGTACCATCAAGTTGAGTTGAGTCACTCAGTGTTATGCTCGAGTCACAAGTTCGGTCAAGTTTTTTTTTCTCATCCTCGAATTTGATTTAAAAAATGATTGAGCTATTTTAGGTTTAATTATTATTAATTTATATGAAAATTTTAAAACTTAAATCGAGTTTGATAAAAAATTTAAATAAAAATTAAAATATATATATTTAATATGTATTTATGTATAATATTAAAAAATCTAAAAATTCCAAAAATATTCACAAATTATACAAGACAGAGTATTATCAAACTTGAATTCAACTCATCAAGTCAAATCCGAGTAGTTCACAAATAGATCGAACCCATTATATCTCTAGCTCCTTGGTTGAAAGACATTGTTTTAATAAATTATGTCTTTTTTTTTTCCTTCTTTTTTTTTGTCCTTCAATAATTTCTCTTCTTTGGTGTTCACCTTTAAGAAGAAAAAAAAAAAAACAGAAGAATGATCAAAGCCAAAGAGAAAATGCAAGCTACTTGAAATGTGTGAGTCATTAATTGCTTGAAGTTTAACTAGCAAATATCCTTCATTTCCTGCCGACATCTCCTATTGGTTGGAAAGATGTTAGTTAATTGATCATTACGTTGATGACGTTGATGTTTAAGTCAAATGAATATCATTTTCGTATCTTTTTCCATGTATTTAATAATAATGCTACTTCGTATTTGAAATAATCAAAAGTTTCTTTCACCATCTTCTTTCTTTTCCCATCCATTCTCAATTGAATTATATAACAAACTATAAAAACTGAGTTGAGAGGTTCCTTCAAGTGACACGTGGCACTCTATCAACCTCCCCAACCCAATTTTAAGTGATATTATTTAACTTATTTAGTGATTAATGAGATCAAGTTAAATGATATTATAAAT